TCCGCCGGTGTAGTCGTTGGGTTCCCGTGTTGGTCACCTCTTCCGCCTATACCACCATTGAGGTCTTACTGGAGCTCTGTAAGCATGTCTGCCTGATGCGGGGCTCCACCGCAGTTTTTTTCTTTCAGAGCTTACTCCTGTAGCCATATACCTACCAAGGTTTATCCGTAAGGCAGCGGGGCAGTGGTTGGTTGGCGCCAGGAAGTATCCGCATGCTGGTGGACCTATGCACCGTCCCTCTGGAGCCCACTGCTACTCCGAGATCCCCTGTTGGTCTAGCCTGGGCCCACGAGGCACCCAGTTACCGTGTGCTACGAGGAGGCACAGCAGGAGTCTTGATGGTGAAGAGGCTGCGTACTAGCAGGGGAGGACTTATGCAAGTTGCTTCTCTGTTCGTCACGAGGTGCTAGTCAGCGGCAGTAGCTGAAAGCGAGAGGAAGCAAGCAGTGCTTGCACCTTAACACTAACATAATGCTGCCACACTAGACGCATTACACCACCCTGTGCACACACACACACACACACTAATGCCATTTCGTTGTCAGGTCAACTGAAGAGAACAACAATAATTACAACGACCACAACACCAACTGGGAACTGCTCCCCCCCCCTTGTGTGTGTTATGGGTCGTGAGGGGGGGGGGGGGTTAACCTGACTCTCCGCTTACTCCACATAAACAAATAAACAACTGTAGCGAACATAACAATTAAGTTATAAACACCCGGGTTCACAATAACAGGGTTCAGTCTGTCCAAATAGTAAGAAATGAATAAACACAATAAAAACACAAATAAACACAATAAATAATAATCTACACAAAAACGAAAGACAAGTTCAGCCTTAAGGGAGATCATCCTCCTCCCCGATGTTGCAATATTGCAGAGGTCCGTATTGACGATGTTGCAATAACAAATAATCTCTCTCTCCCTTCCTGAAAATGTTGCAACACTGTACACTATCTCTCTTATTGGTCATGTTACAACACCTAATAATCTCTCTCGCATCACAATGTTGCAACACTGTACACCATCTCTCTTATTGGTCATGTTACAACACCTAATAGTCTCTCTCGCATCACAATGTTGCAACACTGTACACTATCTCTCTTATTGGTCATGTTACAACACCTAATAGTCTCTCTCGCATCACAATGTTGCAACACTGTACACTATCTCTCTTATTGGTCATGTTACAACACCTAATAGTCTCTCTCGCATCACAATGTTGCAACACTGTACACCATCTCTCTTATTGGTCATGTTACAACACCTAATAGTCTCTCTCGCATCACAATGTTGCAACACTGTACACTATCTCTCTTATTGGTCATGTTACAACACCTAATAGTCTCTCTCGCATCACAATGTTGCAACACTGTACACTATCTCTCTTATTGGTCATGTTACAACACCTAATAGTCTCTCTCGCATCACAATGTTGCAACACTGTACACTATCTCTCTTATTGGTCATGTTACAACACCTAATAGTCTCTCTCGCATCACAATGTTGCAACACTGTACACTATCTGTCTCTCTTCCTCATTGGGTCTGTTGCTACGCTAACTGTATCAAGTAACTAAACTCTGTTGGTGATGACCGGACTGTGACAGGTGAGAGAGACAGAGATTGTGTGTGTGACAGGTGAGAGAGACAGAGATTGTGTGTGTGACAGGTGAGGGAGACAGAGATTGTGTGTGTGTGACAGGTGAGAGAGACAGATATTGTGTGTGTGTGACAGGTGAGAGAGACAGAGATTGTGTGTGTGACAGGTGAGAGAGCAGAGGATTGTGTGTGTGTGACAGGTGAGAGAGAGACAGAGATTGAGTGTGTGACAGGTGAGAGAGACAGAGATTGTGAGTGTGTGACAGGTGAGAGAGACAGAGATTGTGTGTGTGTGGACAGGTGAGAGACAGAGATTGTGTGTGTGACAGGTGAGAGAGACAGAGATTGTGTGTGTGTGACAGGTGAGAGAGACAGAGATTGTGTGTGTGTGACAGGTGAGAGAGACAGAGATTGTGTGTGTGACAGGGTGAGAGACAGAGATTGTGTGTGTGTGACAGGTGAAAGAGACAGAGATTGTGTGTGTGTGACAGGTGAGAGAGACAGAGATTGTGTGTGTGTGACAGGTGAGAGAGACAGAGATTGTGTGTGTGTGACAGGGTGAGAGAGACAGAGATTGTGTGTCTGACAGGTGAAAGAGACAGAGATTGTGTGTGTGTGACAGGTGAGAGAGACAGAGATTGTGTGTGTGACAGGTGAGAGAGACAGAGATTGTGTGTGTGTGACAGGTGAGAGAGACAGAGATTGTGTGTGTGTGTGTGGACAGGTGAGAGAGACAGATTGTGTGTTTGACAGGTGGAGACAGAGATTGTGTGTGTGTGACAGGTGAGAGAGACAGAGATTGTGTGTCTGAGGTGAAAGAGACAGAGATTGTGTGTGTGTGACAGGTGAGAGACAGAGTGTGTGTGTGTGACAGGTGAGAGACAGAGATTGTGTGTGTGTGACAGGTGAGAGAGACAGAGATTGTGTGTGTGTGACAGGTGAGAGAGACAGATTGTGAGTGTGACAGGTGAGAGACAGAGATTGTGTGTGTGTGACAGGTGAGAGAGACAGAGATCAGTGTGTGACAGTGAGAGAGACAGAGATTGTGTGTGTGACAGGTGAGAGAGACAGAGATTGTGTGTGACAGGTGAGAGAGACAGAGATTGTGTGTGTGTGACAGGTGAGAGACAGAGATTGTGTGTGTGTGACAGGTGAGAGAGACAGAGATTGTGTGTGTGTGACAGGTGAGAGAGACAGAGATTGTGTGTGTGACAGGTGAGAGAGAGACAGAGATTGTGTGTGTGACAGGTGAGAGAGCAGAGATTGTGTGTGTGACAGGTGAGAGACAGAGATTTGTGTGTGTGACAGGTGAGAGGCAGAGTGTGTGTGTGTGACAGGTGAGAGAGACAGATTGTGAGTGTGACAGGTGAGGAGACAGAGATTGTGTGTGTGACAGGTGAGAGAGACAGAGATTGTGTGTGTGTGACAGGTGAGAGAGAGACAGATTGTGGAGTGTGACAGGTGAGAGAGACAGAGATTGTGTGTGTGTGACAGGTGAGAGGGAAAGATTGTGGTGTGACAGGTGAGAGAGACAGAAATGTGTGTGTGACAGGTGAGAGAGACAGATTGTGTGTGTGACAGGTGAAGAGACAGAGATTGTGAGAGTGTGACAGGTGAGAGAGACAGAAAGTTGTGTGTGTGACAGGTTGAGAGAGACAGAGATTGTGAGTGTGACAGGTGAGAGAGAGACAGATTGTGTGTATGTGACAGGTGAGCAGAGACAGAGATTGTGTGTGTGACAGGTGAGAGAGACAGAGATTGTGTGTGTGTGTGTGACGAGTTGAGAGAGACAGAGATTGTGTGTGTGTGTGTGTGTGTGTGTGTGACAGGTGGGGAGACGATTGTGTGTGTGACAGGTGGAGGACAAGTTGTAGGGTGTGACAGGTGAGAGACAAGAATTGTGTGTGTGACAGGTGAGAGACGGTGTGTGTGTGACAGGTGAGAGAGACAGAGATTGTGTGTGTGACAGGTGAGAGATACAGAGATTGTGTGTGTGGGTGAGAGAGACAGAAATTGTGTGTGTGACAGGTGGAGAGACAGAGATTGTGTGTGACAGGTGAGACAGAGATTGTGTGTGTGACAGGTGGGGAGAGAGACAGAGATTGTGAGTGTGACAGGTGAGAGAGACAGAGATTGTGTGTGTGTGACAGGTGAGAGAGACAGAGATTGTGTGTGTGTGGACAGGTGAGGGCAAGTTGTGTGTGTGACATGTGGGGAGAGACAGAGATTGTGTGTGTGTGTGTGTGTGTGACAGGTGAGAGGGGCCAGGGTGTGTGTGTGACAGGTGAGAGGGGGTGTGTGTGTGACAGGTGAGGAGGGCCAGGTGTGTGTGTGTGTGTGTGTGTGTGTGTGTGTGTGTGTGTGTGTGACAGGTGAGGAGGGGCAGAGTGTGTGTGACAGGTGAGGAGGGGCAGAGTGTGTGTGTGTGTGTGTGTGTGTGTGTGTGTGCGGGTGGGGGGCAGGTGTGTGTGTGTGTGTGTGACAGGTGAGAGGGGCAGAGTGTGTGTGTGTGTGTGTGTGTGTGTGTGACAGGTGGGGAGGGGCAGAGTGTGTGTGTGTGTGTGTGTGTGTGTGTGTGTGGTGGGGAGGGCAGGGTGTGTGTGTGTGTGTGTGTGTGACAGGTGGGAGGGGGCAGGGTGTGTGTGTGTGTGTGTGTGTGTGTGTGTGTGTGTGACAGGGTGAGAGGGGCAGAGTGTGTGTGTGTGTGACAGGTGGGGAAGGGCAGAGTGTGTGTGTTTGACAGGTGGGGGCAGGGGTGTGTGTGTGTGTGTGTGTGTGTGACAGGTGGGGAGGGGCAGAGTGTGTGTGTGTGTGTGTGTGTGTGTGACAGGTGAGAGGGGCAGGTGTGTGTGTGTGTGTGTGTGACAGGTGAGAGGGCAGAGTGTGTGTGTGTGTGTGTGTGTGACAGGTGAGAGGGGCAGAGTGTGTGTGTGACAGGTTGAGAGAGACAGAGATTGAGAACAGCGACACCGCCACCACCACCACACACATATAGCACTGGCAGGGCAGGACTGGGGTTTGGGAGCAAGCAACATGGCAGCATCTGGCAGGGTTGCTGGCTGGCAGCCCATCTGCCATCTACCACCGCCACACTGTCGCCAGCTACAGGTTGGGTGGTTGTCGTCCTCCAATGACCAGGCTCAACTACGGCCTTTATGCCTCAGAGATTTTGACCCAATTCACCCAGTGGCGTTCAAAACAGTTATATATATATATGTGTGTGTGTGTGTGTGTGTGTGTGTGCGCGCGCGCGGTGTGTGTGTGTGTGTGGTGTCAATGTGTGTGTGTGTGTGTGTGTGTGTGACTGATAGGTAGTGAACAAGATGATGACTGGCAGGTAGGCGTGATGAGCTGGCAGGTAGGCGTGATGACTGGCAGGTAGGCGTGATGACTGGCG